CTGAAGGGCCCTTCAGATCCTTGAAGATGGGACTACCAATCTATTAGGGGTGCTCTTGGGACCATTTGGTGGGTTACTGCAGTACTGTTGGAATATTCTTTGGAATAGTTATTGACTGGTGGAGGAAGAGCTACTAGACACAGATAGTCATTTCAGTGGGAATGGGGCTGTTGATATTTAGGAATTAACACCGATCTTTGGGAAACAGGCCACGGGGATGAAGCTAACAGTCCAGGTGGAGCATTAGCCACTGGGGATGAATCTGTTAATTCATAAAGACGGTGAGGGAGATGGTTAGTTAGTGTGATAAGGGCAAGAGAGGGACAGACAAGACTTGATCTGTGAAGATAGGGTTTTTGGTTAAGGACTGGACTGACTTTTCTTGGAGATGAGGCCAATGATCCAAGAATACGGGACTACTTATCAAAGTGAATAGGGTGAAGAGTCCACAGAGATAAGGTCCTGCCTTGTGCCTGAGGGATGTGATGGGGAGAAGATGAGTCAGGGGTACATCGTTAAGCACAAGTCTGGAGTACTGCAGAGTCCAGCTGGGCCTCCTGCTGACCCAGTTGTTTGGGCTAGCTTTCTTAGGCCCCCTCCTCTCTGCTACCAGCCCTGCCCCCACAGCAGCCCTCACCTGTCTGCAGGGTAACCCAGGAACAGGTAGCCGGAGGCAAAGCCCAAGATGAAGAGGATCTGCTCCAGTATCACTTGCCAGCCCAGGTCACACACCAGATCCCACTGGGGATGTGAGAAGGGTGCAACAGCATGAGGTCCCGCCCTTGTCGCTCTCGGCCGCCCCCGCCTCGCGTGCACCTGGCTGGCTACCTCACCTGGCCGATGGCATTAGTGGTGAGCACGGGGAGCCCATTATAGTCCCAGTCCTTGAGGCAGTGATTGAAGTCCGGTGGGGCGAAGCCACTGCACGCGGGGTCAGTGCTGGTGGCGACATGGCTGGCGGTGCTCGCTGCTAGAGCCGCACTGGCGGCGACGCTGACGCCACTGGCATTTGGGGGCTGCTCCCAGCCCGAGGCATTGGGGGGGAAGGCTCCATAGTGGCAGTGCAGTGGGGGCGCCAGCGTGAAGATGGGGTCCGAAGCCAAACCCAGAGCCACGAAGAGCACGGGCAGGCAACACAGGCCGAGCTGCAGCTGCTGGCCGCCGCCCAGCGCCCCCACCTGGGCGAGCAGCGCCTCAAAGCTGAGGGGGCCTGGGGGCACGGCCAGCGACAGGCTGCTGCCCAGCGCGTCGCCGCCAGCGTCGCCCTCCCCCTCCCGCTCGCGCTCGCGCTCACCCTGCAGCTGCTCGGCAGGCACCGCGTCTCCGAGGGTCCCGACCTGCTGTGGGCGGGAGGGGGCAGAGGGGTGAAGCGAAGAGCTCCGCGGAGCCGGGGGAGGGGGCGGGCGGGCGGGCGCAGGAGCGAGGCCATGGGAGCGGCGGGGGCGCGCAGGAGGGCTCGGCAGGCGCGGCGAGGACGGATGCGGAGCGATGGCGTCGCCCCCTGGGGGCGCGGGCACTTACTCCATTGGAGCCGGTGGTGATTTCTACGGTGCTGTCGATTTTGCTGCCGCCCCCGCCATTGGGCTCAGGGGTCCCGGTGGCCACCCGGGGAGCCAGCTTGCCGACCGCAGGGGCCCTCCCGGCCCGCGCCGAAAGGATGTGCTGTCCTCTGGCCCAGCTGCGCGCCGGGTGCTGGGACACCGAGAGGCCGAAGAGACCCCGCTCTGCAGCTCTGCAGCCGCGGGCGCCTCCTCGGTCTCTGCGCTCTCTGCGCGGCTTTCCCCTCCCCTTCCTCCAGACTCTCCTCCCCTTCCCACGTCAGCAGAACCTTCAGTCCAGACTCTTCGTCAGAGAGGAAGGGGGGCCACGGCCAGGGGAGGGAGGGGATGGGGGTCTGTCGTCTTGTCCGTAGGTCTGTCTGTAAGCCATTGCGGTAAAAGAAGGAAAAAAGGCCGAAGGATAATATGTAGACGTCGGGGGTTCCTCCTTTGTTCCAGTTCTTCCCCATCATTCGTTCATCTCTAACATTTATTAAGTGTCTACTATGTTCCAGGCCTTGTACTGGGTTTTGGGGATAACAAAGCCAACCAGATCACCTTGAGGGTTACTTTCAGAGAGGCCTGCACTGTGCTCTGCCGCAGACCACTACGAGGAGTTGCCTTCTCTGGGTTTTGACATCCCTATTCTGGTTGAATCGCCATTTTTCCAGCAGCATTTGGCACCCCGTTCATTTAATTCTCTTCCTTAGCTGCTGAGCATGTTCCCCTGGCGCCCTCTCTCCTGCTTCTTTTTCCATGGCAGGCATATTTTCTTCTTCCGTGCCACCATTCAGTGTCTGCAGTGCTCAGGACTTTGTCTGAGGGCCTCCCTTCATTTCGCTCGGCTCCACCTTGTTATCTCACCCTGCTCACAGCTTCAGCTGTCACCAACACACACAACACACATCTGAGCCGCAGCTTTGCGTTTCCAGCTCTGGCCTGTTTTCTGAGCCCTGATTCACAAAGCAACCCTTGCTGGACCTCTTACTTTGGATATAAGAGGAGTTTTACTTACTTTGGATTTTAGATGAGTTTTGAAGACTAAAATTGTGCTCTTCCTTCCTCTAACCTAGTTATCTCTAGTGCTTCCTTTGGCAGGGAAGGAAGAAGCTATGGCCAGCTGCTCAGGTGACAACTCTTAGAATTCCCTCTTCCTTACGTCAAATACTTCACAGCATCCTGTCTGTTTTATTTTGTGTATAGTTCCTAGATATTCTGCTCCTCTCTTCTACCCTTGTGCGCACTAGTGTAGCCTGCTAATCCCTGGCTGGTGTTCTGACTGCATCCACTCTATTTCTACTCCCTTCCCCATCTGTTACGGTGCAAATGGAGCAGTCTTTTCAGAATGCGGGTCTGATCATGCCCCTTTCCTGCTTCACCATCTTTACCATGGTAACTGCTCTAGAGACACACATGATGCTGGGTGCCTGGTCACATGCTCTCCAAAATTCCATTTCACTTCTTCCCTCCAGGACTCTACCCTCCAGTCACTTGTTTCTTTCAGCATTTCCCACACCACAGGACCTTTGTACAAGTTTGTTTCTATGCCTAGAAGGCCTTTTAGTCAAATTTTGTTCTTCCTTTAGCTTCAGAGAAGCCTCTCCTAGCCCCTGCAATCGCTGCTCAGTGTGGTTGGTGGATGAACAGCATCCCTATCACTTGAAAGTTTGTTAAAATGCATAGTCTTGGACTTGCATTTGGACAGACCCTTCAGCCATAAGCCACTCTTTAGCTCATTGGGTCTATGTTCATTAGAGATGCCTTTCTCTAAGAGAGAGCTGGGCTTAACAGGCACTTTATTTTTGAATCCCAGATAAGGGCTGGAAAGCACAGCTAGGGAGTCATTTCCCTTCCTCACCATGAATTTCATGGTCAACAACTTGTCTCCTCGGTTCAGAAAATCTTCAGATACAGAAATCCCTTCTTTTTCAGTGCATGCAACAGTCTCCTAGCTCCTTCCCTCCTCCAACTCCTTTTTGTATCTCTTCTAGAATTACTACCATCATAGCCAATGTTCCTTGGGAATGTACTTGCCTATATCTTGTTTGTTTTGGGGTAATAATTTTTTAATTTTATATGGTCCTAGACCATTCCCATCCATTGTTAGAGCCTCACAACTTTGCAAGACTGTTATGACCATTACCACATTAACACTAAGATAGGACTCAGAGAGACTAACTTACCCACAGACATACGCTGAGATTTGACTGAAACCTGTCTCCAATTCCAGCCTCCTTCCCCTCATCCTCTAGCTGGGATCTTACCGTCCACCCAGGGGGGCTCTACCACTGACCTATGTCCCAGCTGTTTTTTTTTTTAAGACAAGGTGTCACTAAGTTGCTCAGGCAGACCTTGAAGTTGTGATCCTCATGACTCATTTTCCCAATTAGCTGGGATTACAGGTGTATGCTACTACTCTCAGCTCAGGCTGATCTCTTGAAATTCAGTCTGGAAAATGGAAGGTGGCCCTTAACACATAGAGGGGTGATCTTGCCCCAGAATCTCCAAACGTTCCCCCTTGAGAGTGAAATGACAAAGGAGCCCCAAATGAAGGAGACATATGCACGTGGGTGCTGAGATGCTAAGACTGTGGCCAGAACGTGAGGGACCCCTGAGCAGGTCACCACGCCAGATTCCTGGGAAAGCAGAACCTAAGTCTGGGTCTGTGGCTCAGACTTCGTCCCTTACGGTCAACAGATGAGTGATCCCTTGTATAAGGCTGTGCACCCTCACTTTCACCAGTCCTAAGGACTATGGAATTAAATGCGTTGACTTGCCGGCCCCCTCAGCTCCTCTTTTCTAGGAAGGTGATCAGCAGGAAGCATGGGGAGTGCAGTGGAAGGGGCCAGACCTAGAGTCAGCTGAGAAAGAGGCCATCAGATCAGCCAGTGTTTCCAGAGTTGGCCTGTGATGCAAAGCTGAGCATGGGTCTCCAGTTGGGGTGACCTCTGAGGCTCCTGCATAGCCAACCTCTTACCACAACCACATCTCTCTAATGACACTGTCTGACAATGAAGTCTTGGAGGCCCCAGGTCACCCATCTGTCTGCCTGCCTGGAATACTAGTCCCGGATCATTTGTGGTTCTCTCATCTTGCAGGGTGAGTTCTAGGGTCACCCCCTAATCTTCCTGTCTAAAATCTTCCTCCCTGGTCTCTCTCCTTACTCAGTGAGTCTCTTCACATCACCCCATTGATATCCATTACCAACAACTGTCCAGTCTGGTGGGTTTATTCTGCTTCTTCGGCACATTTAACTGACCAGTGGATGTCCAGCCCACCTGGATGTGAGTACACGGGAGTCACTGTGTACCTTTAGAATTCTGCCAAGCTTGTCCTAAGGGGCTGACAACCAGTCTAGTGAATGGCTGAGGAAGCAAAATTTCTCTTCACAGTGTGTGTTCTGTAGACACAGCGATGACACCCTCCCCCCACCCTGCAGGCTCCCAAGAATAAGTCAGGGAATGAGAACTCAGGCTTTATTGAGGAGGATGGCCATGCCCGAGGCCCAGCTCCCTGAGGCCCAGCTCTCCGACCTTCTGAGAGAACAAGCCCTCTGGTGTCACCAGACCTCTACATTCTGGGCAACGTTCAGGCCTCTATCCTCCCAACTACCACCAGTGTGGAGCCAAGGAGCAGGATAAGGGGCTCTGTGTGGCCCTAAGTTTTTGCCACCCGAATGTCTGTGTACGACACTTTTAGAGGTGGAAGGCACCACAGTGACCTCCGCCAGAGGCTGGAGAGTTCCTTCCCACCCCAGCAAAGTAGGGAATAACATTAAATATAAATAATTTATATAAAATGGCTCGTATAAAAGCAGTGGAAAAGGGGGAGGAGATGTCTGTGAAGGCTGAGATGACCAGAAAGAGTGGAAAAGGGAAGATATGTCTCCTTTCCCTAAAACAGAGCCGTCAGCCATCTGAGACTTGGAGAGTGGCTCTGGCAGGCAGGGAAGGGGAGGCTGTACCCATGCACGCTCAGGGGGCCAGACTGGTGAGCAGGGTGGTGAACTGCAGGGCCTGCCCTGATAGTTCTGCCACACATCGTGCCATCTCCTGGATCGCAGGGCCGGATGGATAGCCCAGTGCTGCCCCCTTGACAGCCAGCACAGTGGCCTGCAAGGCCTGGCCCAGTGCTGTGCTTGCAGCCCCAACCTGTACTCGCAGAGGAGCAGAGGATGCCAGCCGGCCCAGGGTGTCCCCAACAAACACCAGGCGGTGAGCAGTCACCACCACCCGCTTGCTATGGGGCACGAAGAGGCCAGGGGGCTGGTTGGCCTGGGTGCTGGACATGAGGGTCGCCACAGCTGCCTGTAGTGCTGAGTAGTGGCTCTGGCACTGCCCTGCATAGAAGTGCAAGAGCTGCTGGTCTCCAGTGGACAGAATGAGTGGCTCCCCTGGGGAAAGGGCTTCCTGAGGAACAAGAGGAGGTGTTGGAAACATGCTCATCAGTCCCTCTTCCTCCCTTCATCCTCCTTTCCTTTATTCATCAGGGCAAACCATTCAGCCCACTAGAAAGTGTAGTCTTGTATGGCAGTAAAGTGCCCAGAGTTGATGTCAGATTGATCTACATTCAAACAGCCACAAACCTGACTGCAGACAAGTCTGAAATTCTTTGGTTCATATCTCAAAAAACATGGCAGCTAGGTCTTGGCTACTGGGCAGTAGTAGAGCACTTGCTTAGCATATCTGAGGCCCCAGATTTTATCTCCAGCACAGTGATAAGCAAACAAAAAAATAAAACCAAACAACAAGATAGGAACTCTAGTACTGCACTGTCCAATAAAAACAATGCAAAGCACTTGTGCAATTTTAAACTTTTTAGTAGCCACATTAAGTAAAAATAAATATATATTTTATTTAATGCTAAATATAAAAACGAATAGTTTCTACATGTAAGCAATATGAATTTTCATCTTTAGTCTGCAAAATCTGATGTTCATTTTATATTTAGAGCACATTTCAATTCAGACCAGCCACATCTCAGGGTCTCCGTGGTCACAGGTGGCAACTCTACAGGAAAGTGCAGGGTTTTTTGGTTTTGTTTTTTTGCTTTTTGGAACAGTACTGGTTTTATGAGCTCACAGCACTGCAGTGGACACTGAGATAACACAGGGGAAGGCTTTGGCCCAGTGTCTTGCACGTGGTAAGAACCCTGTGGCATTTGTGGTGACTGGGCTTGATGTTGATACATGCAGTATGCCTAACACAGGGGCTGGCAGTTGGCAAGGTGAAAGGTAGCTATTGTGTGATTTTCATTCTGTGCTGGGTCAAGACACTACCTCACTTTCCTGGGCCTCAACAGGTTAACTTACTGCTTTGGAACCAGTGACGTCTTAGTGGTGGATCCGGGATTAGGAGCTGGGTCTCTTAGGAACCCAGGAATTCATAATTGGAAGGAGGCTTAGAAGTCTCCTGGCCCAGCTGTGACCCACAGTCCAGAAACGGTCTGTTCCCCAGCTCTGGCTTCCTGACTTTGCTCCAACACATTCTTTCCTCTCTTTCTAAATTCCTGTATCTTTTTCCAAGTTCTAGTGCCTTCCTGTTGGACTCTCACTTCTCTCCCGGCTTCATGTGGACTCTCACCTTCACCCTAACCTGTTTCTCTCAAGGTCTGGCTAAGACTCCTCCTTCCCCAGTGCCCCTCAACCACATCCCTCTGCCAGGCTTACCTGTTGCTCCGGCAACACTCTCTCCAGCAGTCCAGGATCCTCTGGAAAGGCTCTATCCAAGGGCTTAGATTCCTGAGCTTTATCCATGCCCTGCAGAGGGGCTCAGGTCTCAGTGCAGGGGCAGGGGTTAGGGTGGGGAGACTCATGGTCTTTCTGTCCCTCCCCAAAAACCCTTCCTTTCCAAGGGTGCCACCAGAGGTTGCAGTCCCTGGACTCCAGGTAAAGGCAGCTTTGGCAACTTTAGGGTGGGTTTAGGGGAGTGTGGCACTAGTACAAGTGGTATGCTGAGGACCCCAGGGGAAGAGAGAGGCTCTGAGATATTCCCCTCGGTTCTCCTGGGGCATTCCTGGAAGCCTCCTGGCTGGGCTTGCTGGGGAAGAGCTCACCTTCAGGTGGACGTAATCATACTCCTCAGCCATTGGGATGCCTTCATACTCATTGTGGGGTCCTGCTGGATCATCTTCCACCGCTCTGCTCTCTGGATTGCCCTCTGCCTTGAGGCTCCCGTAGCCAGGAAGGCGGGGTGGTGGTGGTGGTAGAGGCCGGTCCTGGATACTGCCCTTGCGGCCCGGGGCAGGAGAGGGAGCTGGAGAAGGACTGGGAGCTTCAGGGACAGGCAGGGCAGGCAGAGGACGACGGGACAGACTTTCAGCAGAGGGCAGCCGGGGCCTGTGTGGGGGTGGAGGGCTTCTGGGAAGAAGCCCAGTCAGGGTGTCCAGGTCACTGGAGGCTGAGGCTCCTGGGGGTTCTGGAGAAGGGGGTGCCTCAGGCCCCAGCAGAGGCACATCGTAGATGCCCTCATCAGCGTCCCCGTCCTCTCCATTTGTAAGTTCCTCAGGTGCTTCATACAGGTTAAGGAGGGCTGATGCCCGTTTCAGATTGGAGGGGGCAGCATAGAGAGGCGGCTCTGGTTCCCGGCCCCCTTCCCACTCCAGATCTGGCTCCAGCTCTGTGGGTAGTTTTGGGGCCAGAGGCACATCATAGGTAGCATCACCCTCTCCAGGAGGCTGAGGGGCAACCCGAGCTAGAAGCCGAGAAAAAGAGGCTGGGGAATCATAGGGGTCACTGGAGGGAGTCCGAAGGGCAGCAGAGGGCACATCATAGATCTGGAGAGAGATCAGTAAGTTACACTTCAGCTCAGCAGGGGACCCACCCCTCACCCAACCTCTGAGCAGGCTGTGTGGCCTCACCTCCAGGGCATCTCCAGGCTGGGTTCCGTTGCCTCTGGGGACCTTATAGATGGGGTCAGGAGAGGGTGGGCATGATCCAGACAGAGGTCCTGTGGCAGGACAGGGCCGAGCTGGGGGTGGCACCACATATACCTAGAGGGTGAAGATGTCAGTGGGTCAGGAATAGGGGGCCAGTGAACTGGATGACATCACACTTGGAGGAGCTTAGAGATCTTCCATCCTCTGTGCTGACAGGGATACAGAGCTGAGAAGGGGTGCTAGGCGGCTTCAGCTAGAGTGAGTGAAAAGCTGTGTCCCGAGGATCCCCTGCCTGTCTGGCTGCAAGTCCTTAGGGAAGGACACTTGCTCTTCTAGCTTGGGTGTGAGGAGATGCCAGCGCTCACCTCTTGCTCCTCATTGCCATGCTCCAGGGCTAGGTGTGGTGAGCCAGGCTGGGTGGAGGGTGCCAGGGAGAGGCTGGGTTTGGGTGCTGGGCCAGCAGGGAGGAGCTTCACTCTGTTGGCTGGCACAATGCCCTGCTGGCCATGCAGGGAGCAGAGGCACCAGCCATCCAGTCCACCAGCGCCCTCCTCCTGCAGGACCCGGAGAACATCCCCTCTGCGGAAGGACAGCTCCTGTGGGGACTCAGCCGTGTTGTCATAGAGAGCCCGGGCCAGCTGGGCCTGTGGGTGAGGGGAGGTGAGGATAAGGGTCTACACACAATGCAGGTCCCGTGGAGTTCCCTTCAAGTTAAGAATCTCACTCCAGACTTGGCTCTTCTTCCAGCCCTGGCTTGCCTCTCCAGCTGAGCCTCCTGTGCTCTCCTTTCTTCTTGGGAGGGGCTCTTTCTGGCTTCAGGGGCTCTGTACTTGCAATTTTCCCTATTCACAATTCTATCTGAGTGGCCCCTATTATCCTTCCGCTTAAATGTCTCCTCAGAAGGGGATTTTCCTTCTTTTTCCTGCCTTCTTCCCCATGTCTGTCCCTACCCATCATTTCTTTCACACTTCTACTATTACAGTTATCAATTTCTTCTCTTGCAGTTTAAGCCCTATGAGAACAGGGATTGCTATATTTCTAGCCTCTGCAAAAGGAGCAACAGGATCCCATTTGAACTGACCCTTACACACATTTGTTGAATTAATTCCTCCCAAAGTACATGAGGGGTTGCTAAGACATTTCATGGAATCTCCTTTCCTTCCCAATTACCACCCCTCATAAACACAAGCTTAGATTAAACAGCTGGATTCCAAGGGAAGAAGCTTTATCCAGAGCACCTAGCCATAGAAAGAAAGAAAACAGAAAACGGAGCGATTGTTTTATTCTCAGCCTGAGCAGACAATGTTGTACGGGGAGAGGCTGAGTTTCCATGGAGAGTACTCGGTGTGGTCAGTGGTGGCAAGCCTAGGGCACGCACGGTGCAGCAGGCTCTGTGTTATCGCTGAAAGCTCTAAAAGGTTCACCATCACTGCTCTAGTGTATGGAGGGGGCTGGTAGACCAATGTTAGGTACTATCCTGTTTCCACTATCTTGTGGGAGCCATATGCTCAGGTAACAAATCACAGATGCCAAGTGCATCAAAATGATTTTTCTAGAAACCTGCAAATTTTTGCATTTGCGCCATCTGTAATTATCACAACCTTATGAGGGAGGAGCCGCTGATATCTTCATTTTTTTTTTATTGGTACCTATGCCACTGAGCTAAATCCCCAGCCCCAATATCTTCATTTTGGAAAGGAAAACAGGACAGAGAAATTAGTGCTCTGGCCAATGACACATAGCTGGTCCAGCTGGTGGAGATGATTTGAGTCCTAGGTGGTGTGGCTTACACAGCAGTGTGAGAGCAACTAGCAAGGCACTGCTGCCCAGGTAACCATGTGGACTAATTCAGCAAAATATCTTAAGCTAAAGACTTCAGCCAAGCTGCCAGCAGCCTGTGGGGAGAAGGCTGTGCTGCTCAGTCAGCAGGACAAGAGTGGATGGTTACTAGGCTGGCAGACAGGTTTTAACAAGAAACAGATTCCTTGCCTCATTCCAAACTCATCAAATTATTTTTTGATTATATTGTGGCTTCTAAAGGATACTGTCTCACAGAAAAAATATGATAACCAGGTAACATAACTTCTTAGTTGGCTTTGCACATTTTTTCCCCCCTAGCCATTAGTGTTTTAAGGGGTTAAAATCAAAGTACTAGAGGAAGGGGCTGGGGATTTAGCTCAGTGGCCTGCCTTGCAAGCAGGCAGTCTTGAGTTCGATCACTGGTACAGATAAAAACGAAAAAGACAAAAAAAAAAAAAAAAAAAAGTACTAGAGGAAGCTAGATTGGGGGTTGAGTCTTCATTCTGTTCCTTTTTTACTGGGTGTCTTTGGGCAAGTTGTTTGAAATTCCTTGAGCCCCAATTTACTTCTTTGCAGAAATTCATAAAACGTCTGTTTTTGGATAATAGTGGTTCCTTCACAAGGTTGTCATGAAGGTTTATGAGAAAATGCATCAAAAAACCATGACAAAGCTTAGCACAGGGCCAGGTATAGTAAGTGCAAAATAAAGTTAGAATTACCTATATTAGGGGGCTGGGGATTTAGCTCAGCGGCATAAGTGCCTGCCTTGCAAGCAGGCAGTCGTGAGTTCGATCCCTGGTACCGATAAAGAGGAAAAAAGACAAAAAAAAAAAAAAAAAAGAATTGCCTATATTAGGATCCTGTGACTCTGGTTAGCATAAATATTAGCTCGCCTCAAATAAAACAACAACAACAAAAATAACTACCTGCCAGGACTACAAAACTGACAGCTGACTGCAGGTTCCTGGGCCAGCAGTGCTGTTAGATGATCTCCAGAAGCACTCTACCACCACCAGAGAACCTCCCCTTGCCCACTGGGCTCAGGGCTTTAGCCAACAGGCATACTGAGGAGCTACAAGGAGTGTGGTTTGAGAGGGTAAAAACTGCTCCTCAAAGGGAACAGGAGTTGCGTGGCTCTGTACCTCTCTGTGTCCACCTTCACAATTCTCCTTCCCAGAGTCTAGGGGCCAGGGCAGAAAGCCAGTCAGGAATTCCAACCCAGGCTGGGGCTAAGGAAAGGTGTGACAGGCCTAGAGCTGCCTGGATTCAGACCACAGATAGAGCAGGACAGGGAGCAGAGGTGGGGCTGCTGAGGGCTCCTCCCTGTGTTAGGTTTGAATTGTCCAGTGGGGCCAAAGCTCTAGGCCTTGCAATTGCAGGAATGCAGGCGGAGCTGCTGATAGAATGACTGATGATAGGTGTGGCCACCCCTGCTCTATTCCCATCTAGAGGCCCAGCCGACTTGGAGGGAATGGCTGGCTTACTGGGGGCCGCTGGGCTCTCTAGAGGCCTCCTCCTACAGGCTCATAGTGCCAGCTGTCTCCTGCCTTTGTCCCCAGCCCCTGGAAAGGGCCTGAGGCGGGCTGACATCACCTCCCAACCCCCTACTATATTCTTTCTCCCCACCTCTTCACCCTCCTTTGCTGTATTTGCCCCTTTCTTCCATTCCCTTCTAGATGAGCATCCTTAGGTCCTTTGGCCTCCCATTTTCTTTGGGCCGCTTGGTCCTCTGAGGCCCTGCCAGTCATCAGCAACCATCTGTTCCCGCCCAGAAAAGAGCAGATAGGACTGGGGCTACACTTGCCCCCTCCCCTCCATCCAGCTGCAGCCTCTAGGAATAAAGAGAATGGGGAGGGGGAGGGGCGAGCCAGGACCAGAAAGAGCAGGCGATGGGGAGTGAAGGCAGAAAGGAGACAAAAGTGAGATGAGGACACAGCCTCTTGGGGAAGGAAAGGGTCATGAGCAGAGACAATGAGAAGACAGAAATAAAAGGGACAGGAGCGCGGGGCAGGCTGGGGGGCCCGTGCCTGTGCCCGGGAGCCTCCTCTCCCCGGCAGACTCACCGACGTGGCAATGGCCATGGCCTCGGCCTCCAGCACCGCTTGCTTCAGGCCAGGCTCGGGTTCGCTGTCTTCAGCCGTGGCTGCCCCGCACCATGGCTCGCAGCCCGAAGGCGAGGCGGCTGCCCCCAGCTGTGGCGCTTGAGCAGGGGTCTCCGCCGAGGTTGGAGGAGAAAGAAATCCCGCAAAACTTCCCAAATGGGAGGCAGCTTGGTCAGGCAGAAGGAGGAGCGGGGCGGGCCGGGCCGGGGCGTCGCTGCGGGACCTCATCCAAGGGGCGCGCTCTGCAGTCCCCAGGGCCTGGCTGGGCCTTGAGCCGCCTGTCCGAGGCTGCAGAGGCCTCCTGGGTCCGTGTGGGCCGAAAGCGCCCTGCTACTGTGGGCGACGCGAGGGGAGGCGGTGCGCGCTGGGACTGCGCTCGCTCGACGCCTCTCCAGGCGGCTCAGGACTGCCTCGAGGCAGAGGCGGGCCGCGCGGCCGGGCCGGACGGGCGAGTTTGAGGCCAACCCTCCCTGCCCGGGGGCCGCGCCAGAGAGCAGTGCGCGGGGTTGTGGTCGGGACGGCCGGGGGCCCTGCGGCGGGACCCGCTGTGCGGGAGGAGGAGCGAGCACCCAGCCGTCGGGCCCTTTTCAAACTCGCCCAAGTTGGGGAGAGGAGGCTACCGGGAGCGCGGCCATCGGGTTGGCGGCAGTCTTCTGCCCGGACCTCCCACCTGCGCGCGCTACACGCCGGGGCTCTGGGGTCTCCGCGACGGCAGTCGGCCGGGCCTGCAGCCAGCAGTGCGCAGCCCAGCAGGACGGCCTTCCTCCAGCGCGGCCCGCGCCAAGCCCTGGGGACCGGGCCCCTACCCCTTCTCGGTCCCCGGGGTTACCAGAGCTCCCGCCCCGCCCCGTCGCCCGCGCGCACACGCACCCTGGGCGGGGCCCCTCCCGCGGCGCGCCCCAGAAGTCGGGCAGCTCCCAGGTGTCTTTGGGGACGTAGAGAAAGGCCACAAAGCGACAGAGGGAGCAAAAGAGAAGGCGCAGCAGGAACTGGGGCTAGGGTGTTGCGGGCTCGCCTGGGCTTGGGACTTCGGGGGGAACACTGAGAAGGCTAGGGAGGCTCCGGGGGGGTCGCGTGTGGCCCCCAGGCTGACCCCTCCCGCACAGCTCCGCTGTCCTCCCCTTTCCCCCCAGCTCCTGGCTCCCTCTGAGTGCGGTCCTCTCTCCTCCCTTCGAGCCCTCTCCTCTCGGGCGCGGGGCTCAGTCCTAAGGATTAGGGGAAAGGAGGGAGGAGAAAAAGGAGAGGAAGGGAGGGGGTGGAGGAGAAAAGGGGACGATCCTTCCAAAGGCGGTGTTGAGTTTCAGCCCGGGACCCTCGGGCCAAGCTGCTTGCTTTCTAGCTCCGCGGTCTCCAGCGCCAGCGTCCTCTGGATCGCGCGGCAAACCTCCCCGGGGGTCTGGTCGGCTGGTTCCTGGGAGCGTCCTCTCCCTGCCACGCCCCCGATCACCCCGCGGGCCCTGTGCTTCTCTCTGCCTTCCTTTCATTAGCCCCACATCTGTCTTTCGCCTGGGAGGGAGCGTTCTCCTTCCGCTTTGCTGGGGTCCTCAGTGGAGCTCCCTGGTGCTGTCTCTGCAGGGGTGGTAGGGATAGCCGGCCATTCTTGCGGAAGTCTGGTGCTGAGTATGGATTCTGGCCCCACCAGAGAACATGAAGTCTGAGTGTCTGGTCTCAGATCTGCGGGCGGGCCGGTTGGACGGCCTTTTAGCCTCCTGTGCCAGTCTGGGCCTGTCTCCGTCTTCAGCTGGGCTACTTCTTGCTGCTGCAAGGACTGAGAACCACCGCACAAAAAGGCAGAACTCTTTCAGAGGGACTGGGATCTAACTCCTCAGGAGTTCAACATCCAGGGCTGGGCTCATAGCCTTCCACACTTCTGCCCACCTCTCTCCAGCTGCTCTCTTCCCTGAATCTTTTTTTTGGGGGCGTGCATCACAGCCTTTCAGAGGCTTGAGAGAAACTCTTATTTTTGAGATTCTTGGTATCCAAAGAAAGCAAGATCCAGGCTGGGGGTTTAGCTCAGCTTGCCTGGTTAGCACAAGGTGGTGAGTTTGATCCCTGGTAACAAACAAACAAGGAAGATGCTAAGTGGAGTCAAAAAAAAGTGCAGCATGTTTTCAATACTTACATTTTACAAATTAATACTTCAAACTCATAAAATAGACAATACATAACTTTTGTCTGGAGACAACATCAGATAAGGCCCTTTTTGAACCTGAGGAGGGTACTCCCCTACCTCCCAATAATCCATGGGGTCACACATCCTGGCATCTTCCAAGACCTTGGGAGCATTCCTGCCCCAGCCCTTTTCCACTCCACTGCCTGGGAACTTACGAAGAGGCTTTTGCATAGGAGAGTGGGTGAGAGAGAGAACCTGGTAGTGAACACGTGGCTGGATGTTGTCTCTGGCCTTGGCTCTAATGATGGAATGCAGAGGCAGGCATAGACCTGGAAATCTTAAAAAGACTTATTCTCCACTAAAATGTGAAGGAAGTTTTAAATTTCCAGAGACATCTGAAGGAAGAGCACTGCATCCCAGCTGCAGTCAGGTTGAGGGCAGTCACCAGGGAAGACTTTCCCTCCTTCAAATCCCAGGCCTGGTGGGCCTGGCCGCCCGGCACACAGACACGCAGCCACAGGGTATGGCTGCTGCCAAGGCAAATAGGGGGCCAAGGTGGAGGTGAGCAAACTGTCCGGTCTCCAAAGATGAGTGCTGAGACCAGAAAAGGCAAGGCAAGAAAGAAGCTGCTCAGACCAGGCAAAATGGTGGCTCAGGAGATGGGAAATGGGGCTAGGTACATGGGGAATGTAGGGGGGGAACAGTGGAGTCCAAGCCAGCAGAATAAGAAGACTGCTTCTGGAATTCTCAGGCAAGGAATAGAGCCAGTCTCTGGTCTGAGTCCTGGTTTATTAGCTGTGTGACCTTGGTAAAGTTATAGAACACCTCTGGATCTCAATTTCTCATCTGTAACAGTGACTTTGATGAAGTGTAAATGTATGAAAAATGTCTAACCCACTTGCGCTAATCACCATTCTATCACTATGACAAAAGTAAAGCAGGAATGTAAAGTAAAGGAGGAAAGTCTTATTTTGGGTCACGGTTTCAAATGTTTCAGTGCATTTTTGATAGCTCCAAGAAAAAATATGGCAGAAGGATATGGTGGAGAAAAGTTGCTCCCTCATGGCAGCAAGGAAGCTGAGATAAAGAGCCAGGAAGGAAAGGACCAGGAAGAAGATACAGTCTCCCAACTCACACTCCCATGATCCACTCCCTTCAAGTTTTCATCACTTCCAAATAATGCCATCAAATTATGAGATCATTGGATTACTCCACTGATGAAGGCAGAGTCCTCATGACCCAATCACCTTCCTAAAAGCCTCATCTCTGAACACATGAGACTTTGGGGGAATGCTTTAGCTCTGAATCAGTATACCATGCTTCTTCCATGTTTTTTCCACTTTAATTCGGTTCCCTTTAATTTTCATGAAAGCTAGACAGGTGTCTTTGTTGAGAGTAGGGGAAAGCTTTCTCATATACTTTTATCCTCATTTCTACCTTCTCTTTTACAAACAGATAATTAAGGTGATTCAAATACGTTCAGGAAGAGTTCTAGGCTCTGGGTGTCGCTTGAGAAAAACCAGACAGGATAGGTGGCCAAGACCCTGGGAGGGCAGCAGCCTCACTTAGCAGGTCCCACAAGGTTTGTCCTGGCCATATTCAAGGGGTAGGAAGGACTCCCACCTAGGTCCTGGTCTTCTGGCTCACTCTTTTCCTTCCCCAGCAGTGCCCAGCCAGCTGGTCTTTTCTTCACATTACCCAGATGTTCTTTTTGGTCCTCAGAACTTCTCATATGCTCGGTAATTCTTCCAGACTTCCTCCCTTTGGGCCTAGAATACCTAGACCACTTGGATTCTGATTCTGGTCCCAGTGCTAACTAGTGACCTTGGCTGCCATGTGATGTTTGGAAATCTTATCCTTTGGAGCTCAAGGACAGTAACTGTGGGGATGAAATGGAACCTGGAGCATTGGCTGGTTGTGAGCATTGACAATTATGAGAACAGTGTCTGGTCCAGCATGGATAAATGTTGAATAAAAGCAACTATTATTATTGTTGTTATTTGGCCATCAGCCCTGTGGGAGTGCTGGAATGTCAAGGACATGGTGCCTTGTCTTCAAGAAACTCAAATCCAGTAGATTGTGCTTGCATCCAGTCAATACTTTCCCACAGACCTTGGAATGAAATCCAAATGCTCCACCATAGCCTGTGAGACCCTCGGTAGTCTGCTTCCTCCCTCTCTCATCTCTTCCTACTTCCCCTTCAGCTGTTATTTTCCATCATCACTGTTCTTTCTGTTTCTCAAATATGCCAAACTTTCACACCTCTAGGATTCTCTACGTCTTGCCACCCATACCGAGTCCATCGTTCCTCCAGACCGTTTTGATCATCACATCAATACTGTATCTCCAGAAAGGCCATCCTGGCTTTCTGTATTACAGTTGCTTGCCCACTCCCATAGTGACTCCCTATCTCACAAGGCCATCCTTTTTTCTTAATGGCACTTATTATCATCAGAAATGATCTTGTTTCCTTGTTTCTCATCTGTCTCTTCCTAAAATAAAAACTGTATGAGGAAAGGACCTTAACTGGATTGTTCTTCTCTGCATTCCTAGCATTTAGAATTGTAGGCATATAGTAGGTGTTCAATAAATATTTGGTAGGTAGATGTATGAACGAACACAAACAATCATGACCATAGGACACAACTGGTAAGCCCAGAATCCTCCTTGGGCAGTGGGTTGTCATGTTCTTCGTCCTGCTGATTCTCCATGGGTCCCTCAGGCCAAGGTGGCTTCTACTTGATGGTGGGCTCCTTAGCCTAAGTATTTTTGTAGCTAAAGGAGAGGTTAAAAATAATTAGCAACCAGTATCTTTATCATCTGCCAATCAGAATGGGAGTAATAGTCTAGAGCAGTGGCAGTGAACTTATGCCATATAGGAGCCTCTCTCAGCACATGAGCCATGTTGCCTCAACAGCCAGCAGTAAATAACAGTTGTTTTTCTAAATGAAAAACATCAGCACTCAAGTTTAATTGCAGTGTTGGCTCTTTGCAATAAATAAATAGGTTTTGCATTGCAGGTTGGGTACTTGGTCTCTAGAAATTTTTTCATCACTGGTCTGAGGCCTCCCTCTATGCCATTCATGCCTTAATTGTTCAGTCATAGGGTGGTGTGGCAAAGCGTACCTCAAGGCTGAGAGTAGCATCTACTTACCAGCAGGTGAGGCAGTGTTTGAATATTTTAATAACCAGTGCCCCAGCGTGACATGAGGTTAGAGCACATGAAATTCAGTAGACACTTGGAAGCTCTGTGGACTCTGCACTATTTCAAGAACTGAGGTCCAGAGCAGCTAAGCTATTGGCACCCTTGAGGCCCTTGAGGTAAACTCCCACTCGCCCCAGGCTCCTACAATACATATATTCCTCCAAACAAGGAAGGAGGGGACAGAGAGAGGGCCAAGGACAATAACTGGGCCAAAACTTCAAGGCAATAGATGAAAACTTCTGAAAGGGACAGGACAGCCATATTTTTACTCCTTGCAAGGCCCAGCTTTTCTAAGCCAAATGTTGCAGGTGTATTTCATCACACATTCCCTGCTGTTTCCTGCACTGCACTTTGCTTACCAGTTTTCCTGGGGGCAGAGGATCGGAATCTCAGCAAGCACTCTGATTGCCAGATGTGGCACAGGCAAGCGGGGATACGTTGGGAGGCTACCTTTGATGTTATGTGCTGGGCGAACTTTCCTTCAAATCCATCTCCGTCATACTCCCTGTTGCCACCTACCTATCCTCACACTCCCAAGGATTCCCCGGAAGCTGAAGTGACTCAGGGTTTCCAAAACTCGTCACCCCAAGAGGAAACCCTCTGGAAAATGTTTCTCATGTCAGGGAGTTCCCCTGACATGTTACTAACTTGCTACTGAGATAAGGACAGAGACTGAGCAAACCGGGTGGGGTGAGGGCAAGTGGCTCAGAGCGTAAATTCTTGGTTCAAGCCTAATCATTATAAGGTGGGAAAAGCCAACTGTAGGGGCAACTATGTGCTTGGAGAGGCCCCCTTCCCCTTTCTGGGGTTTACCTCTACTTGGAGCGACCAAGGCAAGAAAATACCCAAAGGCTGCTCCTAAAGAGCAATGGGCTCAGTAATCAGGGCTGTGTACTTTCTGCAGAGTCAGCAAGTGAAACAAGCGGCTGGGATCACCTCCAGCTCTGCTGAGAATGGGGAGCTGAGGTCAGAAGATTGGGTCAGGATCAGGATCAGGATCCAGTTCTTCTCCCTCAGTCCTGGGCTTCTGAATCTTTGAGACTCATAGGACTCTAGCTCTTCTGAAATGGCACTGCCCACCAGATCCTGTTCTGGCGGTGGGGCTCCTCAGGAACACCTGGACCAACCCTGAGGCCATATACCAGACCAGAGGCTGGAGCACTGAATCTTGCCAGCATAGCTGACTGCCTAGGTGGGCAAGAGTATCCTGTGCCTTGGGCAGGTACAGATGAGATCTGCTCTGCCCAAGCCTGTCTCTTACCAACCAGCATCCTCTATAGGGGCTTCTTTCTCCCTTGCCACAGATGAGGGTTAGGGTAGCTCCATGTCAGGAGCTCAGATTTGGAGAAATGAGGACAGCAGTAGATACGAGGGAGAGTAGCCCGAGCAAGGGTGAGCACAGGAGTAGTGCAATGATATTCCTGGCTTCCTTGCTCTTGCCAAATGGTTCACCCTCCTAGCTGCCACTGGTTTCTCCCAAGGCCCCCTCTGTGGTTCCAGCCCCAAGACTGACTGGAGCAGCTTCTCCCAATTCTACCGGATGCCCTGTGACACTGAATACTTCCTTTCCTCTTCATTTCCTTGGACCCCTATCCCTTTTGTTCTCCTCCTCTGTGGTGTTTTGTCCAAAGCATTTGTAGGATTCTCCCTGACTCTACAGTGTGTTATGTCTGTTTCTGTTGTTTATTTCCTGAGTCTTTGGTTACTAGAGGAGTATTTTCTGAGGGAAAGCACATGCAAATCAGGAGGTATCATTCTACAGACAGTGTCTGTGTCTGAGGGTGCTGGGCTAAGGTCAGGCTCCAGGTCTGCTGTCAATCCATGGGCTAGGATGAGGGAAAGGCCTGGAGGGAAGTAAGCACTGACCTCCTCCCTGCATAGTCCCCCTCAGCAGGCTGTTCCCTGTGGTCAGCCTTTCTGGAGTATATGAATTCCCTTACCCAAGACCCTGCTCCTATGTTTTTGTTTTTTGTCTTTTTCCTTTTTATTGGTACCGGGAATCGAACTCACGACTGCCTGCTTCCAAGGCAGGTGCTTATGCCGCTGAGCTAAATCCCCAGCCCCTACCCTGCTCCTATGTTGCTGAGAATTCCAAGGCTGAGTGGACTCCAAGAGGTGCAGCTGTTCCTGCCATGAACCTTGCCCCAAGGCCTTGTGAGTGAGATGAGCCCTCCATCAGGGTCTTAGGTAAGGTGGTTAAAGGTTCTTCCTCTTCCTTGCCCCACCTTTTCATTTGTGCAATGGGGACAATCACTCACAGCTTCTCCCGCCAGGCCTTGTCCTGCCAGCCAACAAGTGTAAGGAGTCAGGCAGGGCCTTTCTGGCTGCCTGTAGGTGAGGCCTGTGTAGGAACACCCCAAGGACGAGGCCATGAAAGTGGGGTACTGTCTGGAGAGGATGAGGGGAGAAGTAAGGGAGAAGGTAATAGAAGTCAAGGAGTTGGGGACATCAGAGAAGAGCAAAGGGCATGGGGGTCAAAGGAGAGGGAGAGAAGGCAAGTGGTCACTAATGTGAGTGGTCAGGGACATCTGGGAAGAAGAAGAGTGGAGATCGCATGCTGGGTGCAGTAGCAGGAAGCATGGAAGGGAAGCCTATAGAAGGGGAGGGAGTCAGGGGACTCCCTGATTTGGGGTATCAAACCAATCAGGGAAATCCCACAGTGCCAGTTCATAAAGATGGAAAGCAACACAACATTATTGCTTTGACTTCATGCCCAGAATGGTTCAAAGAGCAAAGTTTGCCCAATCAACCACTGGCTTGATAATGATGGTCATTACAACTTCCATGAGGGCAGCATTTTAAACAGCTTTTGGAAATGCTTTCAGGCTTTTTTTTTTTAAATCTGAGGTCACTCCCTCTAAGGGATAGTGGAAATAAATTTGAATAAACAAAACAGGTTTGCTGAAAATAAAACCAGGACTTCCAAATTGCTCCATTCAGCCTCCTTCCAGAAGGCTTGTCTGTCAGTCAGGGCACCACTGGAGCTGAGTGAGCCAACTCCAGCATGTACCAGGTGAGGACACTGCTGGCTGGCAGAGGACTTGCTGAGAGGAAAGCAACGATATGGTGGAGGATGGGGGAGACCATGATACCAGGTTTGGGACCTCATGGAGCAGCTAGGAGGAGGTTTGGATGGGAGTGGGACCCAGATGGGTGAGAGCTGTTTTTTTCCGGACCTTTCCAGCAGGTGGCTGCATTCATGGCAATGATTGTGGGCATCCACACTGTCAGTTTGCGGATCCAGGACTGCAGACACAGGCCCAGCTGCTGCCCCATCAAAGAGCAGGATCCTCCCGAGGAGTGGCTGAAGTGGACTACTGTGTCCCTGTCTCCTCCAGAGCCTCCTAGCCTTACCCACCACCCAGAATCCTGCAGGTCGAGTGAAGACGGACCCCTCAACAGCAGGGCCATCTCCCCCTGGAGATATGAGTGAGTCTGCTGTCTTCTTCCCGAATGCTTGCCCATGCCTCCCTGTGTGTGGTGATGTCAGGCTGTGTGTGAGGAGACCAGCGGGGTATCCCACTCAGTTACAATCTATCTTCCTCTTTTAAGTTCAGAGAAGCTGGCAAGGTTTGGGAGTTACACAGCATGATTTGAGCCTCAGGCTGACTCCTGTTGGGTGACTTGGCCAATAACTCCCAAGTTAAGTTTTCAAAGTTCAGGGTTTTGTTTTATTTTCATCTGTAAAGTGGGATTATAATTTATATGCTAAAGTCCACATCAAGTGAAATAATGCATAAGAAATATGTAGTTATATTGGTTCTATGCTTTTCTTCTCTCCTCCTCCTTCTTTCCCTACAATGCTGCATGATTTTCTAACTAAAATATCGGGGGGAAATGGTGTGATGTAGGCATAAGGCATCTCAGTACCAGATGCTACTGCCCTAGGCTATGATTGTTCAGGAGAATACCATGATAGGGAAACTCTGCTCTTGGGGGCACCTGAGTGGCTGGAATCTAGAGCTGGTTATCTTAGATCCTAATCATGCTTATCCTATTCTTCTCAGATTTCTGTGCCACACAAATATTATAACTCTTAATGCAATGATATGAAAAATATCGCCAAGCACTGAAATAGCAAAGAAACAAAATATTAAATATCAGGGCCTCTGGGGTCCCAAATGTAATTTTCCTGTCTTGTGTCCTCACTAGGGGTTTCTGTCCCCTTCTTCTGAAAGTCTGGTTCTGATTACCCTCGGCTTTGGTGATGGATGGAGAGGTTCTGGAGAGTATCAAGAGGTCAGATTTAACTGAGATCAGATCTAAGGTGGAGAAATTGGCCTTAATGCTCTGGAGTTCTCTCAGAAGATTGTGTTGGGCCACATCTGATGGTGTGGGAACGTCAGGGGAGGGTGGGTGCTAACGGCTGGCTGAGTAGGGCTTCAGATTCTTGTGTTGAGGCTGTGAAGCCCTGGTAACCACTCAGTCTGCTTTTCTCAAAGTGTGTTTGTGCAACACTCATTCCTGCAAAAAAAGTGATGTCAAGTCAGTTTGGGAGAGATGAATTCAGACCCTATTCCTTGGAAACTCATAGTAACTTCTACATGGTCTCAGTGGTCTGAGACCATGTCTCAGTGTCTTCCAGACTCATTTGACATCAGAACTTTTTTTGTGTAGGGTATTTATTAGGGACCCCTTTTTTGGGAAATGCTGCAACAGCTGAACCCCAGTTTGTCTGGGATTATATGGGAAATAGTCCCACAACCTAGGAAATTCCCCACTAGGCTACTAAAGTCTAGACTTTTGGAGTATCTACTTTTTAGTAGGTTTTCAGTCTTGTGTGTGTGTGTGTGTCCTTTCTGAATAGGTAACGAAGCCTTCTGCGCACCCTGAAGTATACTGTGACACATGCTTGCACAGCATCTGGAAGGATGTCCAGGCAATGGCTCCTTCTGGACAGTGGGACTGGTGGGGACACACAATTAATCTTTAGTTTATACTCTTTTATACTTGGTTTTCAGAGTAGTTTTTACTTTTGCAATAACAGTAAAATTTAACAACCCAAAAATAATGATACTAAGAAAGTCTGTGTTGGAGCCCAGCATGCATATCAGGTGGAAGCAGAGCTGATCTGTCAGAGACCGAGGTAGGAGCATGTTCAACTTCCTCTGCCTTCCTCAGGGCCCCCAGCTGAGGTAGAAATCTATTCTTTTGTCCCCTGACCTCACTACTGGGGAAAAGCAATCCCAGAGAGGAAAGAGGTGATTTGCTCAAAGTAAGAGGGTACCAGAAGTGAAATATGAAGCCAGGCCCCCTACTGCATCATTTCCTTCCCCTAGTTTTCTACCTTGCCTGCCTTCCCAGCTTTTGGCCTCCAGGGCCTTATGAGTGCCACCCCTACAGGTTGGACAGGGACTTGAACCGGCTTCCCCAGGACCTGTACCACGCCCGCTGCCTGTGCCCACACTGCGTCAGCCTGCAGACAGGCTCCCACAAGGACCCCCTGGGCAACTCGGAGCTGCTCTACCACAACCAGACGGTCTTCTACCGGCGGCCATGCCACGGCCAGCATGGTGCCCAACGTAGCTACTGCCTGGAGCGCAGGCTGTACCCTGTGTCCTTGGCCTGCGTGTGTGTGCGGCCCCGTGTGATGGGCTAGTCACGCCTGCCACCTGCCTGAGGCTGCTCCTTGGTTGGCACAACTGGAAATGAATGGACAGTGACCTTGCCACTGTGAGCCAGAGTACCTGGATTCTCAGTCCCTCCAAGGCACTGCCTGGAGCAGCAAGACCCTGAGATAGGACAGTGGTCTGAGGAAGAAACTACCTGTCTGCACTTTTTGAAAGCACTTTCGGAAGGCAGCAGCTGCACCTTCTGCTACTGAAATCTGGTGTCCTGGCGTTTTCTCCCAGAAAAGGTCTGCAAAGCTCTGCCCATTTCTGGAGGCCACACATCTGTCCCCCTCTCTCCTCCCGTCTGCAGCTGCCCTGCCCAGCACAGGCACTTTCTTGATATTTTTCCATTTTGCCCCTCATTTCATTCATTCATTCATCATCAAACACTCAGTGAATCCTACTTGCCTGCATCCTGGTGTAGTTACTAGGCCTTTGACACGAATCAATTCTGAGGAAAAAGCTGTTATTGAACATAGAGAGATTTATCCCAATAAATATCTGTGTTTTAAAATGGTCTAATTTGTCTTTGATGCCTGGGATGTCTGAATGCCTGAACACCTGTGGTCCGCAGCCCGGTCCAGTCTCCTTCCCTCCACTAGCACTCACCTACCGCTTCCTGCAAGTTGTCCCTACTTCCTGAGTTTCCTTTGCACCCTCCTCCCTCTCTGGCTCTCTGATCCAGCTCTGAACACCAGCATGCTGGGGAGACAGAGGCCCATTGAGGCAGTGCAGGAGGCACACAGCACCCCCTTGTCTGTCCGACAATCTGTCTTTGTCCTCTGGTCCTGGCTGCTGCTACTTGGTCTTGGGGGTTGCTGCCTGGGCGGGGCTCCAGCTCCCACCCTCCCTAAAAGGAAAAAGGAGAAAGGACCAGCCAAGGAAGAGGGTAGAGGTTAGAAGAGGGGAATGTGAACGTCTTCAGGCCTGGGTTTTAGAGGGGCTCCCATTCCTGTCCCTGTCTCTTGGCTCACCTCCCCGATCCTGTTTTTATTTTTTTCTGATCTCCCTCTTTTTTTCCCTTTGCCCCTTTTCCGAGGCTGGGTTGGACTCAAGTAAGGGAAGGGTTAACCATGCCTCCCGCCTCCACTGTTCAAGGGGCCAGGGCAGGCCATAGTGAAGGCACCCAGGGCAGCTGAATGAAGGCAGGCAGGTTTCTGGAAGTGCCTTCTCGCTCCTGTCTGCTTTCCTATCCTGAGAACATTCTGTTGCTCTTTCCAAGCTGGTAGCCACAGTGGGGGCTGCGGCCTGTGGGCCCCACGGAAATGTTCAGTGCTTGGGATCGCCGGGACCGGCCCCCTGAGGAGGGGACAGCTGCAGGGCTCCAAGGCTTCGCTGTGGACAAGACCTTCCTCTCTTCCCTCAAAGGCATCCTGCTGGAAACAGAGCTGGTAACAGCTGCCTCCCTGCCCTGGTGCCTCTGTCCGTCCCCTGCCTCGCTCCCTTTCCAGCCCTGTGCTGGTCCCCCAGGTTCACTGCTCAGCAGCCCCTCCTGAGCTTTCTGGACACTTCCACCTGTCGCTTCACTTCTCCATCTGGAGGCGTCAGCAGTAGGTTTCAGCTGTAGCAGGACAGACTGAAGTTAGAGGCCAGCATTCTGGGACATGGAGGGAGTGTGATACATGGGGATGGGACAGAAGTCCCTCCTCCGTCACACAGTAGCCACTTCTTGGCCAAGAAGTCCAACTATCCAAAAGGACAGACTTCCTGTAACTGCACTTTATCTGTTGGCTGCTGCCTATGAGTGTCTGTTCTCAGGAAACGTTCTATCCTGGTTATTTAGCAAGATCATAGCATAAATCTAAGGCCTCTGCTTATCAGTCATCCTGCTTTCTGAGCCTCTTCTCTTGGCACAGAGTCAGGGCTCTAGTTCTTTTTTTTGGTACCAGGAATCTAACTCATGATCTTGCACTTACCAGGCAAGTGCTTGAGACACTGAGCTATATCCCTGGCCCCAGAACGCTAGTTCTTGTCAGTGGAGTTCTAGGTGTCTGAGAGTGGGGACAACATCATGGGGCAGAGGGGGTCCTGAGGAACAGGGCTGCTATGGAAACAACTTCAGGGGCTTGCAGGCACCATATGCTGACTCTGCTCCTGGGGGTACTGTGCTGGTGGACCCTCATAGGTTAGTGCCTGGAGCTGCCCAGAGGCCAAACCACTGGGGTCGTGGGAATCGCTGGGCTGGCAGGGCTGGGGGGATAAAGGGTAGTGGTGGGTCCAAAGATCCACCAGAGACAGGGATTGGGTGCCAACTGGGGTGGGGGATGTCTTGAGGAGTGGAGCCAAGGCCTGGCCTGTGGGGATATCCCCTTCCTGGCCAGCTCCCCATACCTGGTTCTGCAGGCCCTGACCTTCATCATCTTCATCTGCTTCACGGCCTCCATTTCTGCCTACATGGCCGCGGCACTACTGGAGTTCTTCATCACACTTGCCTTCCTCTTCCTCTATGCCACCCAGTACTACCAGCGCTTCGATCGGCTAAACTGGCCCTGCCTGGTGAGGAATTCTGCCTCCCTGACCCTGTCCCAGTCCCTTCCTTTCCCTCCCTGAGTGTTTTCCTTTATTCTCTCAGCTCCCTTCCATATCTATGCCTCAGTGGGACATGCCCTGCACTCAGAACCATGCTTTAGCCCACACTGGTTCCTCAGCTGCAGGGGCCCTGTGCATGAGGGGAATGCACATACATCCTTAGTTCTGCTCTCCCACTCACTCCCCTTAGCTCTGCCCAACCTGGCCTTGCCAGCTGTTGTGCTCTGATTGCCCGCTAGGGCCAGTTCCCCAGCCCTGGGCTAGCCCCTGGTGCTTTGGATCCATCTGCTGCCATTCCCTGGGCAGCCTGTTGAGGACTCTCTTGAAAGTGCTTTATATATATGTAGAGGCATCCTCATGTAGGAATTCAGAATCTCCAAGGATCAGGTCACCAAATTAGCCTGAGAAACCTCAAGGTGAATGCCCCTGCCTTCTGACACCACCTCCCTGCTCCCCAGGACTTCCTCCGCTGTATCAGTGCCATCATCATCTTCCTGGTGGTCTCTTTTGCTGCTGTGACCTCCCGGGAGGGAGCTGCCATTGCTGCTTTTGTGAGTCCAGCCCCTGGGGGCCACTGGTCAGTGGGGCATCCTTCTTGCATCCTAAGCCGAAGCCACATGCTGGGGATGTAGCTCAGTGTTGAGTGCTTGACTGGCACATGCAAGGCCTGGACTTGATCCCCAGTATTGCAAAAACCAGCAAACAAAGAAAATCCAGTTCCTGGGGTCCAGCTTACACCTCATCCCATACCACCTACCACCCCTCTCCCTTAACCCAGTGGCCCCAAATGCTTTGAAGTGCCATCCCTGCTCTTCCTCCCACAGGTGTTTGGCATCATCCTGGTTTTTGTCTTTGCCTATGATGCCTTCAAGATATACCAGACTGAAATGGCACCCAGGGCCACCCAGGGTGAGTGACTGCATACTGGAAGAGACAATGTCTCAACCCTACCCCAGTTATCCAGCGTGACGTGGCTTCCCTGCCTGACTCCATCTTCACAGGGGACCAGCAGTGACTCTGAAACCAGTCAGACACAGGGGACTGCAGAACCTAAACTCAGCCCTTTGTATTCACGGACTGCCTGGACACGGTCCCCCATGCCATGCCTGAGAAGTCCCTGAGGATGTATCTGTGGAGCCTGCTGCTTTGGGGTCTGGCCTCTGATGCAGTTCTGACCAGAGAAAAGGGGAGGAGGGAGGTGGAAAGAGAGGGGAGGGAGGTGGGAGGAGGGGCTCCAAGTCATTCCCATATTAAAAGATTCAAATCCTGCCTTTGGGTCTTCTTCTCCCTTCAGACACTGGAGAGCAGGAATGTAAGCACTGATGCAAATTCTGCCTGGAGTAGGTCACGGACCCCTCTGGGACCAGGTCTGAGCAGTGAGGCAGTGATGGCTGGCCAGAGAGCTGAAGACACCCTGTAAGGCTGAACTTCTACAGCACAGCCTGAGGCCTCTGAGGAGGTAGAAATTCTCAAAATACTGTATACAGCCCCACTGCGTGATATGCACTGCACCATGCCCCCTGGGCCTGAAAAGGCACAGCTTTCTGATGTCCAGAAGTGTGCACCCCTGCCCCTCACCTGAGCACACCTGTTAGTGGGCACAAACTGAGGTGCTTGTCTGGGGCAGGTGCAGAGCTCCTCCTGGTGGTGTAGGGAGGACTTGCCTGGGATGTGGCAGCGGAGAGGGCAGTTGCACGAGGGAGAAATTCCCCCAAAAGTTGTTGCTGTAAAGGCCCTTAGAAATCAGTTGGTTCAGTGCCTTCATTCTACATAAGAGACAACTGGGGCTCAGTTAGGGCAAGTGTCTTCCTTATTTGTGACACAGCTAGGAGTATAATCCCAATCCCCTGTTAGCTCAACAGCTGGCCTGGATACCGTGCTAAGTCCCATTGTTGCTCAGAATATAATGGCCCAGCCTTATCTACAGCTCCTTCTTCCAGCTGCCCAGTTTCCCAGGCTGAAGCTGCTCAGCACACATTTCCTGAGCATCTCTGTGTGCTGAGCAGCTTGTTACCTGCAGACCCTGTGCTAGCCCTAGGGATTCAGAGGTGACTGGCAGACCTGCCCCTGAGCCATCATGGGTTGAGAGAGAGACCAGCCAGTAAAAGGCTCCACATGATAAAAGTTGGGGGGAAGCTTTGTTCTGAGGGAATTTGAAGCAGCTTTTGCCAGCCCTGCCTGGTCTGTGACAGTCCAGAACAGTCAGGACTTCTTGCCAACCCTGAGGAGTTCAGCATGGCCCAGCTCAGTGGCTCTATCCAAACTGAGCTGCTGTTCCCTCTCCAAGGCTTGTTGCTTCCCTCAAGCATCATCATCCTTCCTTTGGGGTGTTCCTTCCAGTTGCAGGATCTTGCCCCCAAACCTTGCCTGGAACCTGGATCTTGAAGTCTGTGGTGGAGCTCTGCTCCTTTGGTGGTGACAGCTCGTCTCTTGGACTTCTGCCTCCCATTTCCTGTTCTCATATTCTTGTGTCCAGGCTTCTCATCAGATCAGGCAGTTTCTCCTGGCAGGCTCTCCAGGGCCAGAATCAACTGGATTTCATGTTTCTCTCAACTCTGCTCATAGTTCCCAGGTTTGATGCATGGTTCATTCTTACTTGGAGAGCAGGACAGTATGGGCACTACTCAGAGGAGGGACAGAAGAGGTAGGTTCATCGAGGGGATCTGGGGAGAGAGGGTCCAGGCAAAGGGAGAGCAAGTGGTCTGAAGAGCTTTGCCAAAAAGAGCTTTGCTTGTAGTAGATGATCAGGACCAGCTCAGTCCCAAGCAGCTACGTGGCTGGTCCTCAGAGGTGCCCAGAGACACCAAGTTTAGGCCACACTGTATATGGATTTTGGTTGAGCACCAGCTGACCTGTGCAGGGTGCTTTCCTGTAGAGCTGGGGTCAGACTCTGGGATGACAGAGGGGAGCTCCCTGAGGGTTACTTCCAAGGGGCTGACTAGATGGGACTTTCCCCCCATCTTTTCTTTCTTTCTTTTTTTTAAATTTTTAATCGGTACCAGGGATCGAACTCACAACTGTGTGCTTGCAAGGCAGGTGCTTATGCCACTGAGCTAAATCCCCAGCCCCTCCCCACATCTTTTCTCTGCACCTTCATCCCCACCAGCTCTGAACCTCTCCAGGCATCCGTGGAAAGATCTTTTAGGAAAGGATTGTGTTCTAGGACAATTTTAACCCCTGTGGCCCCAGAGGTATGGGAAGTAAAGGGTAGTTTCAGTTTTGGCACCAAAGTTCTGATTCCCAGTGTCTGTAACTAGCTCATCCTGTTTCTGCCTCTGTTTCCTCCACTTTGGAAACATCTCTTCCCCTTGCCCTGTGTGGCTGATGGAACAGATCTGAGGCTTGTGCTGTCAGGCAGGGCACCTCGTCTAGGCTTGGCTTCCTCTGCTGCAATGTGGGGTACTTTGGTTCCCACAGTTGATATAGAGACTGGAGCTACCCTCCTCTAGATCATCAACCCATCCTAGAGCTCTACGGGCTCTAGGATGAAGACCAATGGAAAGGACAAAGGACACAGGCAGGGTCAGGCACTCAGGTTTATTGTGGGTTAGGCACAGCAAGGTTCCGCAGACACTGTCACTCCTCGTCATGCATTTTTTGCTGGGAGAGGAATAAGAAGTATGAGAGTTGGCAAGAAGAATCCCTAGGGCTTTCAAGTCCTAAGTTTAGGAGAGGCCTTAGAAAGGAAGACATTAGCTTCGGAGATCTCGGGGTCCCATGTTAGGGGTGTTCTGGCCCTGACCACTCACTCCTCACCCCCTTTCCCGTTTCCTGCCCCTGGCTTGGCACCTTTGTCAAGGTGTTAGCTTAGGGGACAGGGATGGCCTTTATGCAGAGGTTCCAGTCTGAGGGGGGCTCTTGTGAGCAGGAGGGTGGGTGGAGTCCCAGATTGAGTGCTGTGGGACTTCAGGGCTGTCCAAGTATAGTGTGAACGGTAGCTACTCTGAGGGACACGTGTCAGAGGGTATGTTGACGTGCGGTGACTACTGGAGCCCAAGGGAGGCACCCACCTTGGCACCAATGTCACGGCTCTTGGCCCTCAGCTTGTTGACTTGGGACTCAGCGATGTCTGCCCGCTCCTCCGCCTCATCCAGCTCATGCTGCACCTTGCGGAACTTGGACAGGTTGGTGTTGGCCTGCTCCTCCTGCGGGCAGAGGGAGGAGGAGGTGAGAGGGGGTCTGCCCCTTAGCCTCAAGCCCGGAGCGCTGGCTCCCTTGGGCCCTTCCTACAGGCTTTGACCTCGGCAGGGTCACTCACCGCCTCCTCAGCCTGGCGCTTGTAGGCCTTGACCTTCAGCTGCAGCTTGTCTACCAGGTCCTGCAGCCGCAGCAGGTTCTTCTTATCCTCCTCCGTCTGGGGCGGGGCGGGGGGGGGAGGGGAGTGCATGAGACAAGGTGGTTTTGGGGGAGGAGCCAGAGAAACTGCCTTCCCCTCCCCCTCCATGCCACGTCTCCTCAGGCCTCAGTTGCCCTCCTTCCAATGGCTCAGGCCAAGGAGTGGTGAGCAAGATTCCATCTCTGATGTCACTTGTAGGTGAAATGGGGCAAGGCAGGCTTCTTTGTCGGGAATTCACTAAGCAGTGAGATCCTAAAGCTGGAAGTGGAGAGAGGATCTCAGAACTAAAGATTCCCTACTTTTCAGGTCTGTTCTGGCCTCAAGAGTTGTGGATAGAGCTCCCTCCTGGTACAATATGAGGTACCAGAAGAGTCATAGCGAGGAAGACAAAAAGAAGGGATTATCATTGCTCAGATTATTCCAATCTGTCATAGCCCAGTACTCTAACTCACTGTACTGGGCCTGAGTCCAAGAACCAGGATCCCTGGCTTTCATGTCACTTGATCACCAGAATCTTCATATTGCTCTGTGCTCTACTTGTGTTCATGCCAAGTTTTGGTTCTGTATTTGTCATCTCTGTCCTGTGCCTCTGGTGTCCACCTGTCAAGTGGATGACACTTTTATCTCCTCAGTTTTTCCTTCCCATGACACTGTGAAGGGCAAGGCAGGCCTTTGACTTGGGAGATGGAGGTCACGGACTATCCTGAGATCTTTTGTAGGCCTTGTCTTACTTGTCTCAGAACTTCCTTGGGAGATCACCATGACTTTTCCCACCAGCTGATCTGGTTCCTAAACCACATGTCCTCCCTTCCTGTCGGGTTGGTAGAAGGTGGAAACATTCTTTGGACTACTTTAAAGCCTTCACAGTAGTACTTTGGTGAGTATTACCAATTTGAGGAAATGCTGGGAAATGAGATTTCAGGAAGTAGAATTAGATTCTTCTGTGCTACAAAAATCTATGGACTTAAGCTGAAGGGACCCCAGAGAACGTGAAAGGGAATTAATCTTTGTACAGCATCTCAAAGACAGGAGGGCTGCCTGGCATTTCTGGAAGGTGGCTCAGCAGGGTATCCCTTCATGTGTTGGGAGGTACAGCTGGAGAGGTTGGGTACATCTATTCCCCATCGCCCCCGCACCTGGTAGGTGAGCTCCTTTATGCGACGCTCACTCTTCCTCATGCCCTTGACTGATTCCGCGTTGCGCTTCTGCTCAGCCTCCAGCTCGTTCTCCAGCTCCCGCACACGGGCCTCCAGCTTCTGCAGCTGCTTCTTGCCACCCTTGAGGGCGATCTGCTCGGCCTCATCCAGCCGGTGCTGCAGGTCCTTGATGGTCTGCTCCATGTTCTTCTTCATGCGCTCCAGGTGGGCGCTCGTGTCCTGCTCCTTCTTCAGCTCCTCCGCCATCATGGCGGCCTGTTCACAGGAAACATTATAAAGGTCTTGAGTCTGGGCCCTGGGCTGCTTCTCTCTCAAGGACCTCTGCTCTCCAATCTCTGGTGTTTTCTCCCCAGGCTCTCAAACCCACAGAACTACAGGGTCAGGTTATCATAAGATCACAGTGGCCTGGCTCCGAGCAGGGCTACATTTGAGTTTTTGGGGAAGGGAAGGCAGGAAGGTGGGCCTCACATCCGTGATGGCCTTCTTGGCCTTCTCCTCAGCGTTCCTGCACTCCTGCACTGCCTCTTCCACTTCATTCTGGAGCTGGGTTAGGTCTGATTCCATCTTCTTCTTCTGGTTGATGAGACTGGTGTTCTAGATACGAATAGAGAAATCTATCAAATATATACTTTTACTTGATTCAGTATCTTTTTCTTTTCTTTTTTTAAACCCGTACCAGGGATTGAACTCATGACTGCCTGCTCACAAGGCAGGTGCTTATGCCACTGAGCTAAATCCCCAGCCCCTTCAGCATCTTTTTCTAGAGAGGATTAAAAGTGGCCATTTAAAAAAGCCAAAGCTTTTTGCCTATTCTCTTTTGTACCAGCTCTCCCTTTTCCTGTGAAGATGGATCTGTTCTAGACATTATATGTAAAATCTTACAGCTCTGGAGAAAAACCTCAAATGGTAAAAGGTTTACAGTTCTATCTTTGAGCATTTTAGTAAAAATGTTTACATGAAAATATTCTAAAAAGATAGAAATAATTTTTTTAACCAGGACAATATTCTGGAAATGATTATAGCTATAGACAGTGGTAAGCTAACAGGGTATGAGTCAGTGGGTAGAGTTGTTTAGACACATCTAAATGAGGGAACCAGCTCCACAGAGGACTGCAGTCGATGGGCACCAACATTCACTGCAGATCATAACTGGAAACGGAGGAGGGCAGAAACGGTATTCCCCCAGAGTTCAGCTGCAAGTGGATACGGTTCTGTTTCTTTTATCTCATAAACTCCTGTCTTTATAGAACAAGTCAGAAGACTGTGTTCTAGATCAAAGCTACTGAATAACGACTTTCTTCTATTCCCAGATCTGTGACTTTAGTAGCTATCACCAGTCACACACGACAGCTCCCCACGATCGCAGTTCTAGTAGCCAGTACTAACAGATGAGGGCTGGCCCAAGAGAAGGAACAATTTGTGATCCTGGGTGGACACACTCATTCAGAACATCTGGTTTCCATAGCTGTCCTGGCTCTGACGCTCAGCAGGTTCTCACATGGTAGCTCCTGGCCCCCTCACCTGGGAGTGCAGCAGCTGCACCCGCTCACTGGTCTCGATCAGCTCCTGCTCAGCCAGCTTTCGAGACCTCTCTGTCTGCTCCACCACAGCACGCAGCTCCTCCAGCTCAGCCTGCAGCAGAGTGTTGCGCCGCTCTACGATGGCGATGTTCTCCTTCAGGTCATCATTGGCCCGGACTGCGTCATCCAGCTGGATCTGGGTGTCCTGTGGAGAATACATGATGAGAGAGGCCAGAACCTTGTACTCCTAGGATCCCCAGTGGGGTCTGACATGTCCTACATCCATCAACCTCCTGTCACCCAGAGGAAGAAGGGGCACATCCCTCATGTCTCTAGTCAGGGCACAATGTCAAGGTTTCAAATTCTTTCAAATTCAGGACTTATGCAGCTTCTCACATTTGTTAGCCCAAGACTCTTCTGGTCTTTACCATTTCCCTGGGGCACCTGTAAACTCTGAGTCACCTCCCTCCCTTTCTGAGAGCCTCAGCTTCTTCCTCCATCTGCTGATTACTTTGAGATGTGCTTGGGCAATCTTCAGGTGCTTCTGGGCTTCCGATGCTGTCCTGTTGGCTTGGCTGAGCTGGATCTCCATCTCATTGAGGTCGCCCTCCATCTTCTTCTTCACCCGCAGCGCCTCATTGCGGCTGCGCGTCTCTGCATCCAGCGAGGTCTGCAGCGAGTCCACCACCCGCAGGTGGTTGCGTTTGGCCTGCTCCATCTCCTCGTCCTTCTCTGCCAGCTTCCGCTCGATCTCTGCCTTAATCTGGTTGAACTCCAGCTGGGCGCGGAGGATCTTGCCCTCCTCGTGCTCCAGGGAGGCCTGGGGGTGGGGTGGAGTGGAGGAAGAGTCAGGGCCAGGGCTTTGAGGGAGACAGAGGCCAAGAGGCTGCAGGCATCAGCCAAGGCTGAGGTCTGGAGAAGAGCTAGGAAGAGATGGGAGGCTGGCCCTGCACCCCGGGGTGCCATGGGGGGAGGGAGTGCTACACTGTCTGAGCTTTCTGACTCCTGAGGCTGCCTCTGTGAAAGAGTTTGACTTCATTACCAGATAGATACTTTTTTTTTTTTTTTTTGCCTTTTTCCTTTTTTATCGGTACCGGGGATCGAACTCACGACTGCCTGCTTGCAAGGCAGGTGCTTATGCCGCTGAGCTAAATCCCCAGCCCCTCCAGATAGATACTTGGTAGGAATGTGGTAGAAATTCCTAACCCACCTAAAAGAATCAGAGAAAAGGGAGAGATTTCTAAATCCACAAATCCAAAGCTCTCTTTGTTCTTTATTTCCCTGGTCCCTCACCTTTTATTTTTCAGACTTGGAATTGAATCCAGGGCCTTCACAGTTTATTTTTTAATTTGAGACAGCATTTCAGTAAGTTGCCGACAATGGGCCAAAACTTACAGTCCTCCTGCCTTAGCTTCCCAGAGTGCTGGGATTGCAGGTGTGCACTACCATGCCTAGCCTTGGGACTATTCCTAGTTTCTTAAAATGCACAGTAACAACAGCTAATATATATTAAGTGTTTGAGTGTATAACTTCACTTAGTTGCACATACAATCTTGTAAGACATGTACATTAATAACATTTAAAGACACTGATCCACAGAGAGGTTAAGGGCTTTGTCAAATAACACACAGCAGAGTGCTGATTCCAAAACCCATGTCCTTCCTCACTGTCTGAGCAGTTGTTATGATGGCTTCAAGAAACCTAGCAAAAAACAAAACCTTGTGGCCTAAAATCAGACTGTGGCATTTTCCTTGTGCAGACTCTGACTTTGGGCATCATAAAAGAGCGGGAAGTAGTTTGACAACCTCGTATTCCGCAGGTCAGGGTTGGTCCCATGGGTAGGTGAGGTGGAAACAGCAGAGCCGAGTGGGGAGCAGGAGAGAGATCCCGGCCCTCACCTCTGCCTCCTCCAAGGCTGACTGCAGCTCCAGCTTCTCCACCTCCAGCTGCTTGCGGATCTTCTCCAGCTCATGGACGTTCTTTCCTCCTTCTCCCAGCTGCTCAGTCAGGTCTGAGATCTCCTCTGTGGGTCAGAGAGCAGGAAAGCTCAAACATCTGAATTACTCCCGGCTCCTCACGGGGGCACTGCCCCTCGGCCCCTCTGAGCCCGTGGGCCAGCTCACCCTGAAGGTTCTTGTTCTCCCGCTTGAAGGTCTCCAGGTGCTCCAGCGACTCCTCATACGCGTTCTTGAGCTTGAATAGCTCCGTGCTCAAGGAGCGCGCCTCTTTCTGGGATGACTCCAGCTCTGACTGCGACTCCTCATACTTCTGCTTCCACTCAGCCAGAATCTGCAGGGGACACAGCTCAGTGTGCAGCCTAGGGGTCCCAGACCCCTCACCTGGGCTCAGTCCTTCTCCCCTGGCTGCCAGGAGGACAGCTCTGGTTTCACACTGACTGTCTCCCTAGTGCCCTCTGCCCAATGCTGGCTGCCATCCTGGCCCACTGCCTACCTTATCGAAGTTCCTCTGCTTCTTGTCCAGGGCTGCGGCAGCGGCATTGGAACGCTCCACGTCTACCATCAGGTCCTCGATCTCGTTCTGCAGCCGGTGCTTGGTCTTCTCCAGTGATGAGCACTTGGCGTTGACGGCCTCCACGGCCTCCTCGGCATCCTGTAGTCGCTGGGCCAGCTTCTTCCTGCCCAAGGGAATGTGTATGACTCTACTTGGGAACAGTGGGGCCCTGGGACCCTTCCTCCCCTGTACTGCCACTGAAGACTCAGCCCCTTTCTATAGCTGCTAGGATAATGAAACCTCAGTTTCCAAGGAGCCAAGGCCGCTGGTGCCTAGAATAGAGGTCACCAAAACAACTGCCTCCAGATACACAGTGCATCCATCTGGTTGGCAGCACCTCCCATTCCCACCCTAGGCTGATCGATGAGTGCTCCTCTGACCAACAAGCTTTTTGCTCGTCTTATACGTGAGCATTAGGTATAACCCGGGCCAAAAGCTCGCCCGTCACAGGAAGTGGGTCAGGGCCAGCCAGAGTTTATAGACTGTAGGATCCAGGGTTTCTCTCCAGAACTTCTGTTCTCTATTCTTCTATCTCTCCCACTGTAGTCCTGTTTCCTATAGCCACTCTGACTGTCCCCATCCCTCATCCTCTTGCTCCTTCCTCTCTGAGAATCAGGATGGGGACCTCCGGAGCTCACTTGGCCTCCTCCAACTCCTCGGTGCGCTGGATGGCGTCCGTCTCATACTTGGTCCTCCACTGGGCCACCTCTGAGTTGGCCTTGGACAGCACACGCTGCAGCTCAGCCTTGGCCTCCATCTCCTCCTCATACTGCTCCCGCAGCAGGTCACAGTCATGCCGAGCTGACTGCAGTGCGTGGGCCAGGGCGTTCTTGGCCTGGAAAAAGGGAAGTACCAGGAGTTAGGAGGGAATTCCTGTCTCTTGTTCTCAAACTCGCCTGCTCAAGCGATCCTCCCTCTTCAGTCTCTGCATGTCTGGGACCGCAGGTGTGCATCACTGTGGTTGGTTTTCTTCCTGCAACATTCTCTAGATTCTTCTATTTGTTTACTTCAAGGGAGCCCCAGCCTCAGCTTGTGAGCTGAGGTGAAACCTCAGTCTTTGGATCCTTGGTGTACCCACCCCACTCCTTTACAAATAAGAAACATTAAGTGATTCTGGCTGTTGCTTAGCTGGAAGACAGAATCCTGACTGGAGGCCTTTCAGTTACAGGTCTGTTTCTGGAGTTGAGACTCACTTTCTGGGCTTCCATCAAACCTGTCCACTGGCCCCCACTGAGCTTTACCTTGCCTTCCTCCTCCAGCTGCCTCTTGAGGTCCTCCAGCTGCTGATTGTAGGACAGCTTGCCTCGGGTCAGCTGTGAAATCAGTGCCTCTTTTTCCTCTAGTTGCCGGATCAACTCTCCTAGAGCAGAATAAAGGGTTTGTGACACACGCAAGGGGGCAGCCAATGTCCTACTCAGGCCGGGGCAGGGCTCGCCAGGGCACTCACCGTTTTCGGTCTGCAGTTTGGCTCGCTGAGTGGTGAAGTCACTGAGGGAGCGCTGGGCCTCATCTAGCTTCACACGGTACTCGTTGGCCTGGTCCTCCAGCGTCCGAGACATTTTCTCCAGGTTTGCCTTTGGACAGCAGTGGACACAGGGAAGGTAAACGTGGGAAGGCCTGGCGTACACAGTGACCAGTTCCCCCAGAGAGAGGAAGGAAATGAGGGTCAAGGGTGCAGGAGGGCGGTGACCCAGGCATTGTGTGTGAGTGTGTGTGGGGTGGGGGGCTCTCAGTCTGAAGAAGGTTCTTGTAGAGGAGGAGGAAGGTGGGAAGACAGGTGTGGGTAAACATCAGAGAGGGGCAGGAAGAGAAGACAGAAAGGAGGAAGGGAGTGAGAACCACAAGACAGGTGGCAGAGAGAGAAACAAAGGAAGGCATGGCTGTGAGGAACAGAGGTGAGGCGAGGCCGACAGGGCCCACCTTGGCCTTGATGATCTGCTCCATGTTGGAGGTGACATCATCCAGCTCCAGCTTGAACTCGCTCTTCTCCTTCTCCAGCTTCTGCTTGACCCGCTGCAAGTTGTCGATCTGCTCGCTCAGCTCGGCCACGCTGTCCGCGTGCTTCTTGCGCAGCGCCGCCGCCGTGGCCTCGTGCTGCAGCGTGGCCTCCTCCAGGTCGCGCCGCATCTTCTGGAACTCGGCCTCGCGCTTCTTGTTCATCTCGATCTGCACGGAAGTGGCCCCGCCGGCCTCCTCCAGCCTCTCGCTGATCTCCTCCAGCTCTCGGGACAGGTCTGAGCGCAGCTTCTCGACCTTGGCGCGGGCAGTGCGCTCAGCCTCCAGCTCCTCCTCCAGCTCCTCGATGCGGGCCTAGGCAGGGACACAGGGGCTCAGACTCGCGCTGGATCCCTCCATGGAAGCCCCTGACTCTGGACTCTAAAATACTCTCAAGTACTCAAGTCCCTATCAAGCAGCGGTTCTCAAATAGGGTCAGTGTTGTGTCCCGGGATTCCCCGGTTGACTATGTCTGGGGAACTTTTAAATTGGCATAACTTGGATGTGAGAGTGCTACTGGCATCTAGTAAGTCAAGGCCAAAGGATGCTGCTAGATACCCTGTAACTGCTAGCTACCCTGCACTGGCCATCAACAGGAATTTGGTTAACAGCAAACTGTTGAGACTCAGCCTGAGCATTTGCAGCCCTGAATCCTGAGAGTCTATGTTCTGAAGGGCGTCCTGAGATCTTCTGGTATCATAACTGTCAGGGTCCACAGATTTACCTGACTCTGCTCTGCTCACCATAAGACAAGACAGTAGGTGCTTAAATTTTTACAAATATTTGCAATAATATGCTTAGTAATTTCTTTGTTAATCATAAAGTTGATCATAGTTTTCTTTCTTCAGAATTTACTTATTTATTCCCAGGGCTGAATTCTAGCTTGACTGCTTCCTTCCAGGCCAATAAAGGTGACCTCTCCTTTGTTATGCCCCTATCTTGTTGTTCTGGCCTTAGTCTTGGTTTTAACTAAATTTTGACCTGTTTTGACCTGTTGTTTGCCTATCCAGGAACAAAGGAACAAACACCTACTGTTTTGACCTGTTGTTTGCCTATCCAGGAACAAAGGGGAGTTTTGGTTGAAATTCCCTTCATCTGGGGTAATAGACAGCTTTAAGGGACTGCAGGAAACTCCTGTAGCTTTACTGAACTGCAGCAGCAGGAGGAAGAGAACCTGCATCTCTGCTCCAGGATGGAGAAGGAGGAGTCACAGCTCACTTGAGAAGATGTGGTGAGGATACCCTCACCCTTTCTTTTTTTTTTGTCTTTTTCCTTTTTATCGGTACCAGGGATTGAACTCACAACTGCCTGCTTGCAAGGCAGGTGCTTATGCCGGTGAGCTAAATCTCCAGCCCCGATATCCTCACTCTTGTTTCAGTCCAAGAAGCCAAAAAGTTGCCGAGACTCTTTGCAAGCAGGTAGTTGTGAGTTCAGTCCCCGGTACCGATAAAAAGGAAAAAGACAAAAAAAAAAAAAAAAAGACATAATCTGAAAAAGTTGCCGAGACTCACAATAGAAGAACAAGGGGGCAGTTCAGAATATTGACTAATACCCAAGAGGGAAGCCCAAGAAGACAGAAAGGGTAGTGCCTAAGCAGCCCAGGGGAGTGGGATGGTGTGCCTGTGTTATTTGCAGCCTAAACCGCAGGTCCTGTGGGCTGGCGGGGGGGACCTCTTCCTCCTAGCCATGGTCGTATAGAAAGTGAGAGGACAGACCTTGTCTCCAGCAGTTGAGCACCTGTTTTACTGTGTCTAGCTCTGGTCCTGCAGCTTCTGCAGCTATAAAATGGAGACAGTCCCTGCCTTATAGGCTTTTCAGGAAAATCTACAACTAAAAGCACATCAGTATGGGGTACATTATGACTTTTTTTGAGATGAGGTCTCATTGTGTTGCCTAAGGCTAGTTATGATCCTGGGCGCAAAGCGATTCTCTGGGCTCAGCCTCCCAAAAAGCTGGACTATAGGTGTGCACACCACATCTGGCCTAAGCCATTCATTTACTCTCCTCCCACGAGGGACAGGAGAGATAGAGGACAAAAGAATACCTTCTTGTCAGTAGCTGGCTGACTTTAACCTTGGCTATACTAAAATGGCATTCGTATAGAATTCCCCAACTGACTAAGTGGTTTCATATACTTTATGTCCTCTGGTCCTGTAGGGTAGGTACATGTTATGGATAACAAGAGAATCTGAGGATCAGGGAGGGCACGTGACTTGCTCGAGGTGGTGGGAGCTGACTGCATATCAGGAGCATCTGGGGAGACTCAGCCTGTATCGGTGACTAAAGTTAGTACTGGGGAGGGGATGAACCCAACAGCCCACGGGAAATGTGCTCCATGAAAGTTCTTCCTACTTGCATGCGGCAGGCAGAAGTACTAAAGGAAAGGTGGTGGAAGAGAAGGATTGAGCCTAAAGGACTAAAGGAAAGGTGGTGGAAGAGAAGGATTGAGCCTTAACCCAGAGTAGCAAGTGTGTGAGGCAGAGCATATTGCAGAAAGAGAGACCCTTTTATAGGTATGAGTCCTCTCCAGAAGAGCTTTGCTGCACTGATGCATTCCTGCTCAATAAGACTAGGGCAAGATTAGTGCTGCCTGGAGGTCAGAGATGATTAGGGTTCTGGGGATGCCTGGAGTTCTAGATATTATCTGGAACCCTAAGCAGTTTCCACAGCCTCACGTGGGTGTTCCCTTGGCTGCACCAAGAAGAATGTCACCTGGTTTTCCTTTAGTTTCTTCTGCAGCTGAAGAGCGAGTGCCTGCTCATCCTCAATCTTACTGTTCTGCTGATTAATGTCAAACTCCTTCCTGGAAGAGAAGCAGGTGGTGACTGGTGGCCCTCCCTACACTGGGCCCGTTCTATTGTCTTGCCTCAGTATGCCAGAACCATCTGCCACCTTTCTGGCCCAGAGAGTAAAGGAAGCCTGTGATGACCCTCAGAATTCCCAGTGTGTGTGCCCAGGGCGACCTCATCCGTGGACCGGCAGTGAACTCTTTAGCCCCTCATGGCTGCTGTCAGTGCTTACTTCTTGAGCTTTTCTTCCAGCTGCAGCTTGTCATTCTCCAGGTCCATGATGCTCTCCTGGGTCAGCTTCAGGTCGCCCTCTAGCTTCCGCTTTGCCCGCTCCAGGTCCATGCGCACCTTCTTCTCCTGCTCCAGAGATCCCTCCAGCTGGTGGAGAGAGAGTAAGAACAAAATCTAGAAAACCTGAAATCCACTGTTCAATGTTTTTCTGCTTGCTCTTAAGCTTGAAGTACAATGGCACTGGAAGTGACACCAGCAGAGATCCTGTAAGCACAAAGGATTCAGAAACTCAACCCAGTGAGGAACCACTGTGAGGGGAGAGGGGGAAAAAATCTTCAGGAGCCATAGAAGCTAATTATAGGGATCAAGAACCCTTTGACCATTGGTTGATGGCAAACTCTTGATTTGAGAGAGATAAATGGTTCTTATTACTCACATCGTCCACCTGCTGCTCGAGCTTGACCTTAGCCTTGGTCAGGATGTTGACCTTGTCCTCCTCAGCCTGAAGGTCATCCAGGGCCTGCTGGTGGGCCTCTTGCAGAGCTTTCTTCTCCTTGGTCAGCTTGGCAATGATCTCATCCAGTCCAGCCATCTCCTCTGTCAGGTTCTTCACCTGCCAAAGTCCCTACTGCTTCAGAACAAAGGTCCCTACAGGCCACAGCTGGGGACATGTGTGGGGACCTCCATGTCAAGGACCGGGATCCTCTCTGGACTGGAAATCTGAGGAGATGTGGGCTGGAGCCAGAGGGAGCAGCACTTACCTTGTTCTCTGTTGCATGCTTCTCCTTCTCCACCTTGGCCAGTGTCAGCTCCAGGTCATCAATGTCCTTCTTGAGCTCTGAGCACTCATCTTCCAGCTTTCGCTTCTTGGCAGTGAGCTCGGCATTCATCTCCTCCTCATCCTCCAGCCTCTCATTCATCTCCTTCACCTTGGCCTCCAGCTGGATCTTGTTCTTGATCAGCTGATCGCAGCGTTCCTCTGCATCATTGAGGTTGTCTTGTTCCTGGGAGAAGAGGATAGGGAAGAAGCTGATGGTTAAAAAAGAGGAGACATGCATGTTCTTAAAAGAACTGGCTTTTCTAGACTCCCAGGCCCTAGTCATGTGATGTGCTATACTCTAGGAGAGAAAAGAGGAGATGAAGAAATCATCACAGGGCCTCACCGCCTGCACTTGGAGCTGCAGGTCATTCTTCTCCTGCAGCAGTGACACCATCTTCTCCTCCAGCTCCTTGCGGCGAGCCTCAGACTTCTCCAGAGACTCTTTGATGCGTGCGAACTCCTCCTTCATGGTGGCCATCTCCTTCTCCGTCTCTGCGCTCTTCAGCAGCGGCTTGATCTTGAAGTAGAGCTTCATCCATGGCCAATTCTTGACAGCCATGAAGGCTCGAATGTTCCACTGGATTACCAGCAGGGCATCCCTGACAAGGAAACATGCAGGCAGGGAGGGACCCTATAAAAGAGCCCTGTCCCAATCACAGGGCCAACCTACACGGGTTCTCTTTCCTCTAGCAAGTTTGTATGCAGCACAGGCAGAAGCCCAGTTTTGTACCTTACTGCACATACGCACTCCTGATCAAAGAGCACTGCGTTGAAAGTAGGTTGCTCTGTAAAAGTGTGAATCAATTCAACTAACGTACAGTTTATAGCTTCCCTACTGGAACAATTGTAATGGAAACGACCACTTATAATATTATATTATGTTCAGTGGTTTTATGCTGATGAGAATCTCAAATATGTTAAAATTGTACAATGTTGACTTTGAGAATGTCTCCAGTATATACATTACAAAACATGAAAATGACTGTCCACACACCCACCACCCAGCAACAGTTAAAGTATTACCAGCATTAATGATTGTCTGACACTGTACATACCCTTCTGAGACCTTTTTTTTTTTTTTTTTTTTTTTTGTCTTTTTCCTTTTAATCAGTACCAGGGATCGAACTCATGACTGCCTGCTTTAAAGGCAGGCGTTTATGCCGCTGAGCTAAATCCCCAGCCCCTCTGAGACCTTTTTTTAAAAACTAGGGTTTGAACCAAGGGCCTTTGCACTGAGTTACCTCCCCAGGTTTTTTTATTTTTTATTTTGAGACAGGATCTCACTGAGTTACTGAGTTGTTCAGGCTGGACTTGAACTTGTGGTTCTCCTGTCTCAATCTCCTAGAGTGCTGGAATTAAGACTTACTTTTGCTCATTCAGCAATATGCTTTTATGGTGCAAACATACAATATCATGTAGTGTAGTTTGCTATTTTTCATAGCTCTATGATATTCCACCAAATGGTAATAAACCTATTCTCCTTTGGATGGAAATTCAGGTCGTTTCCATATCCATACTATTATGGCCGATGCTGTTATGAAGACTTGGTCTCTCTCTCTCTTTTTTTTGTCGTGATATACACATCTAGGAGTTTCTCTGTGGTGGGATTGCATTTAGGAGTGGCGTTAAAAAGTATGTGATTGTTCAGCTTTGGAAGACAATGATAAATCTTTTTCCAAAGAGGTTGCCGTAATTTATACACCAGTCAATGGTAGGTCAGACTTCTTAATTTTTGTCAACCTGGTGTTTTAAAATGGAGTATTTAAACAATAATTCAATGTGAGATACAGAATAGTAAAGTAACTCGCCCAGGTCAGCGACCGTGGAGCCAGGCCCTGAATCCCAGGTCTTCTGACCCATGCTCTTTGGCAGTTCTCTGACATTTCAGGTGCTTCCCTTTCCTCCCTGCCTCACCTGCGTTCCACAATCTTCTTGAACTCAATGCGCATGAGCTGACCCCGGGACTGCGCCTGGATGCGTGTGATGATGCGGCTCAGCCTCTCATCTCGCATCTCTTCCAACAGCCCCAGGAGCCCTGCCTTGAAGAACACCTAAGGGCAGGGGACAGAACCAGGGTCCTTAGCCTCAGAGAGGGGT